TGGTCACCAATCAGAGCACGTCTTTTCATGTATTCCCAATTGAGTCTTAGTCTTGGAAGGGAGTTTGCTCTGAGGGGACCCGACCACTTACCTTGATGTCTCCTGGGCGAGCAACTTGCTTATTCTTGTAGTAATCAGTTGGACTGCTTGTATTGTTTTGTATTTTTCCTGTCGGTCTTTCTTTCAAGAACTATCTTCTGTTCTTCTTGCCACTCCAGGCTGGTCTGCTTAAACAGGGTTTTCTTGTGTTTCATCTTTCCAATAATCTGACTCTCCCACCCTCTGGTTTGGAGTGCTTCCCCTTCTTGAAGACTTGTGGTTCAGTCATGTTTCTGTTCAAGATCAGATGTCACAGATGGTAATTTGAGGACAATTTTAATAAGAATATTTTTCAAAGGTGTGGGCAGGGCTTCAGGAAGCCAACAAAGGCTAGTTAGACATCTAGGGGTGAGGGGCCAGCAACATTGGGGAGATACTGCCACGCCTAGAGCTGAAGGGACAAGGGTGGTGGTGGTTATGAAACCTAGAAAGAAGGGCTGCTAACAGGGGGACAAGTGCCCTGACTCTCCTCTCATTCCCTCCAGGACCCTCCTCCTGCTTGGCCTCCCTGAGTCTGTCTCCTGAAGGCCAGCAAGGTGAAGAAAGGGGAGCAAGGGCCATGGAAGTCACTCAGCACAGTGATCAAGGTATTTTTTTTGTCATTTACGATGGTTTTATAGTAAAAGATATTACAGCTATGGCTGAACAGTAGGGATTTGTGTTTCTCACACCAGAGATTCAGAGGTAAACCATCATGGGTGCTCAGTGATGCCGTTCCTTGTCAGGATCTCTTGCCTTTCCTCTTGTGCTCTCAAGATGGCTGCCAAAGCACCAAGTGTCCCAGCCTCACAAGACTGTGTTCAAGTGCAGAGAGGTTAAGAGTGGACTCTCCTTGCCTCTCTTTGCTTGCTCTGGCCCGGATTCCTCAGTGTTTCCCCCTAGGGACAGAAGGGTGCTCTCCACCAGAGAACCCTGTGTGGTCAAGAAGGAAGAGACCGCTATAGGAAATGGCAGTGACTGTCGCTGACAAGTCACATTCCAGCTCTGAAGGAGCGTCCCCTCATGGTCTAGTGGGAATAGGTGACGAGCTGAAGGACATCTCTTTGTAGATGGAAAATGGTTCCCTTTCCTCTCTCCACACTCCCTTCTCTGGTCTGCCCTGCAGAGTTCAGGAGGCTCTCTTGTAACTTTCCATTGTGAAGGGTTACAGAACAAATCATCAGTCTCACATTCAACAAATCACAGACTTCGTGTCATTGTGATTGCAGTTCTATGTACTAACAGTTAAAAGTATTTACCACTTTTCATTTCAATTCTTGCCCTCCTCCCTGGGTCTTTTTCACTACCTTCATCTTTCCTGTACCAACTTCCCACTTGTTGTATATTACCTTCCCCATCACTCAAATTCACATGTGTCTACTCTACCCAGTGAATAATTTTCCCTTTTCTCCTATGCCTGGTAACTATCAGAGAGTGTTGCTTATAACAAGGAAATCTTTCCTTTTTACATTGATCTCATACAATTTGCCCTTTTGTGATTGAGTAATTTCACTCAGCATGATGTCCTCCAGGTTCATTCATGTTTTGGGGTGTTTGGCAGTTTCATCACTATTCTTCAGTGTTGTGTAGTATTCCGTTGTATGTACCAAAGTTTGTTTCACTGTTCTTGTGTTGATGGGCATTTAGGCTGTGTTCATCTTTTCGCTGTTGTGACTAGTGTGCTTCAGTGAATGTGGGTGTATGTGTCTGTTTGTCACGGCTTTCATTTCCTGAAGATACTTACCAAGTACAGGGATTGCTGGTTCGTATGGTATTCCTATTTTCCAACGTTCTGAAATAGTGCCATACTCTTCCACAGTGGCTGCACCATTATGCAGTCCCGGCAGGCTAGGAGGGTCCCAGGCTTTCCACACACTCATCAGCATTTGTTGTATTTTTAAACTTTGTTGTCAATGCTGGGATGAGATATCTCATTGTTTTGATTTGCGTCTTTATTGAGTTGAAACCAACTTGATGGCACTTAACAATGGCTAATGGGAGCGTGGTGACTCGTATGATAAGCACTGGGCTGTGAACCACAAGGTTCATGGCTTGAGCCCACTAGCCACTCTGCAGGAAAAAGACTGGCTCCTGCTAAGAACGAAAGCCTCGAAAATCCTCTACAGGGTTACTATGCATTGGAACCGACTCAGTAGCACTTAACAACTTGTAGTACAATGGTCCTCAAGAAAAAGAGAGAATTTTAAGTGAAACTTTAATTTATAACTGGAGTCCTGATGTGGTGCTGTGGGATAAGCACTCAACTGCAAGGTCAGTTTAAACAGCAAGACTAGTGGTTCAGACTCACCAGCTGCTCTTCAGAAACCCTGTAATAGATAGGGTCACTGAGTTGGAACCAACTCAACGGCACTTAATTTGACGAAAGCTAATGATCTTGAATATTTCTTAATGTTTGTTAGCCGCCTGCACGTCTTTTTTAGCCAAGTGCTTGTCCGTGTCCTCTGCGCATTTTTAAACTGGCTGATTATGAAGGTTCCTGCTCACTTATGTCCTGCCTGGAGGTGCTGTGGGCTCTGTAGGTTTGGGGCAGAGCCTGCCTGAATCCAGGAGCCAGGGCCTCACACTGGTTCAAAGCACACGGCTTCCAGAGTCTGCACTGGGGGGAGCTGAGGGTGGGGGCTGGCCAAACCTCTTTCCAGGCGAGTGTGGGGAGCAGTGTGTGGCCATCTGAAGGTATCTGAAGGGGTTCACTCCCCGTCAGTCTCCTTCCTTCTCCTTTGCGGTCCCTGCTCAGCATTGCCTCTCCGTAGGGATTCAATCCATTTTGCTAACCTTTCCTCTGAAGCTCAGGGTTCCAGGATTGTTCTGTGTCTGTTTCATCTGCTATCTGGTATGATTGTTGTAGGAGACCTGATGTGGTGCTGTGGGGTAATGTGCTGGACCTTGCTGGTTTAATCTGCAAGGTTGGTGGTTCAAGCTCACCAGCTGCTCTTCAGACACCCTATAATGTCGCTATGGGTCAGAACTGATAGACCCAACTTAACAGCACTTGACAGTAACAATCGTTGTTGTATAATGTGTGTGCGCCTTGTCCTCCGTCTTACTGGACGTCTCTCCCTGCTGTTCATTTTGCTCTCCAAAGGCAAGGAAAATACAAATCGCTTGGCTGCTTGCTTAGAGTGTGTGAAGGGGGAAAAGCACCACCAAAAAACTAAGACCCAACCAGCCAATGTTAATATTTTACTAAACTACCCAAGCTTGGAACTTACAGATGAATTCCTTATGCTCATAGCCAGGGCTGTGGGACACCCCTGGGTGGCCACAGAGGCAGTTGCAATATCAAGACACTTCCATAGTAGCAAACAGCCAGTCACAGCTCTTATGTGACCTTTCCCCAAGACTCCAGACCTCCCCACAGAACAGGCTTCCCATCTCCCTTACTTTGACCTTAGTCAGGGTCTAGCCATTGGTCCCAAGAACCTGCCATACATAGAACAGTGAGGCCCTCTGCTCCTATAAAGATGCAGAGTCTTTGGAAACTCTGTGTAGGGTCTCTGTGAGTCAGAACCAACTGAATAGCACTTAACATGAGTCAGAATTGACTTTATGGTAGTAAATCTGGGTTTTCATACAGTGTACTCTATTTGTTCATTGCATGTCTCTTTTACAGGAACCCTGGTGGTGGAATGAGTTAAGCGAAGTACTGCTATCTGCAAAGTCAATGGTTCAAACCCACCAGTGGCTCTGTGGGAGAAAGATAAGACTGTCTACTCTGGTAAGCAGTTTTTGAAACCAAAGGTGCAGCTTTTGTCTGTTTTTGTTGTTAAATGCCATCATGTCAGTTCTACTCCAAGTCATAGTGATCCTGTAGAGGGTTTCCAAGGAGCTGCTGGTGGGTTTGGACTGCCGACCTTGTGGTTCACAATCCAGTGCTGACCCTGATAGCTAATGATCTTCAGTATTTCTTCATGTTAGCTGCCTGGATGTCTTTTTTAGTGAAGTTTCTGTTCATGTCCACTGTCCTATTAGAGTCGGGATTAACTTGATGGTCACCTGTATCTCTCACTAGGCATCTCAGCACCATGAGGTCACCTGTCTATAAGTGCGTGCCCAGAACAGGGCCCGGCTCAGAGGCATGATGTCACAACATCCTTGGTCCCCACAGGTAAATAACACCGTTAGCCAGTTTCTTACGTCTGTACTTTTCTAGTGGTTGTGTGGCTGTCAGGTAGTTCTTAGTTTCCTCAATGTGTCCTTTCATGATGTGGAATCCAGGCTCCATAAGGAAATACAACTTCAGATCGTGAAGTCACGTCAAGTGTGCATCCTCACAGGAAAGAGTGTACAATTGAACCTGTGGCACATGTGGCTGGTGTGTAAGCAGCTTTGTTAACCACCCCTCATTTGGGCAGTTCCTGAATGGCTGAGTCGTGAACACAGCTCAGACACAGGCTCTGAAGTTCCTTGTTGGGGTTGGGTCATGAGTGACCCCCTGGGCACCCCAGAACGCACTTGCATACATTTTCCAGGTGGAATGCTGAAATCATAGCTGGGTGACTTGTAGCCAGTGTTCACGGTCCCAAGGGCCCTTAAGGGTTTGAGGATTCCAAATTCTAGAAATGACCAACTGGACTCTTCACTTGGGGTGGGATTTCTTTGAGGTGTTGGGAAGGAAAGAGTTGCTCTTCTGCCTTGTGGGCCTTGAAGCCAGAGCTCCCAGCCTGGCCATTGACCATGCCCACAGCACTCTGGGCCTTGCCCAAGTTCACTGCATTGTTGGGCCAGGGCAGGTGCTCTTTTCCCAGGGGCTGGGGTGTCCTAGGCAGAGGGCCAGGTCTGGCTGTGAGAAGGACTTGGACCACTGCTTATCACCCAAGGACCCTGGGTAGGGACACCCCCAGCTGTCAGGGCCTGGGAGACCTGGGGTATAAAGGAGTCACCGCAGCAGGCAGGCCCCACAGCTCCTGACTGTAGTACCATGGCTTGTCTCTGGCTCCTCTCCTGCTTCGCCCTTGTGGGGGCCGCCCTGGGTGAGTGCTGCCATCTGGCTGGAAGGGGCTAGCTAGGACTCCCTTTCTCTGAATCCTTGGGTCACTTCTAAGCAGGGGCCCCTGCTGGGGTGGAGAGCAATGGAGCCCTCGGGTGTTGGGGTCCGCTGGGCAGTGTGCGGCAGACTGCACCCCACCCTGCCTCCTTGCGTTATGTAGGATACTTGATGGACCTACGCAATGACGAACCAGTAAAGCCATCAGAACTTAGCCATTTTGAGCTTTTTGCAGATTTGCTTACAATATGTCTTTTTGAACAATAAAACTGGTTCAGCTGTTGCTCCTTCCTTGGAAGGTTAGCCCTAGTCTGAACTCGTCCTATGCAGGCTTCAAAAATACCTGTTCTTTAGTCAGTTCTGACTCGTAGGGTTTCCAGGGAACTGCTGCCCTTGTAGTTTGTAGTCTAGTGTTGATGCTACAGGGGCACACCAGGAGTCCTAAAAATACATGCAGTATGTATGTATGTATTTATACATTCACAAGCAAATACGGAGTTTTATTTTAAAATCATATGTAAATATATTCATGTTCATCAGTTCTACAATGTGCTTTGTCCAGTTCCATGTTTTTGATTTATCATAACCAGCTTATTCATTGTAATCACTAGAGAGTGCTGTCAGGTGAATATTTGGGATTTTTTTACGATTACAAAGAGACTGTATGTGAGAGAGGGCAGTACAGTGGGCATGAAGCCTGTAGCGAGGCTACACCTAGCTGTAGGGGCGGCATGGGAGCACCTGTCCCTGTCCCAGCACTGCCAAGTCATTAAGACTTGTGGGTGTCGAGAAGCCGGCAGCTCTGGGCCTCACTGCATGTTTCCTGATGGACTGACTGACTAATCCTGGCCTCTCCTAGTTCTGAAAGCCATTTGCTCAGTTTCCTTAATGTCCTTCCCTGGGGTCAAATCCAAGTTCTTACTAAATAATGGAGAAACTCAGACTCTGCCCAGTGAACCGTCCCTTAACTGGTGAATTCGTCCCTTAACTGGTGAATTCGTACGGAAGGAGCATCCACACGAGTGAACACAGCGGTGCCCAGCTGTCAGTGGACCCTGTTCCTTTGAGATTTGTCAGCACCTGGGGGCTTCCATCTGGGCTCACACAGGAAGCACAGGGTAGACCTGGGAGTGGACCTGCCCTGGGCCCACTACAACCCTGAAAGGATGCGGGGGTGGGGTGGGGGGATCCTTGAGCTGAAGTGGGTTGGAGCTGTGCACGGGGGGCCTTGAGGTGAGGCTCCACGGGCTCCTGAGCTTAGCCCTCCCCCCCCTCCCACCCCAGGCTGCGGAGTCCCCACCATTGAACCTGTGCTGAGTGGCCTCTCCAGGATTGTGAATGGGGAGGACGCCGTTCCCGGCTCCTGGCCCTGGCAGGTGTCCCTGCAGGTGAGCATCCAGGAGTGCCTGTGATTTCTGGGTCAGGCATGCTGTTCAGCAATGGTGTCACTGACGCCCCCCCACACCTCTCTCCCCAGGACAGCACAGGCTTTCATTTCTGTGGGGGCTCCCTCATCAGTGAGAACTGGGTGGTCACTGCTGCCCACTGCGGAGTCAGGTGAGGCCTAGGTGGGCTCACTGGGGGGAAGGAGTGGAAATGCAGGGTGCACTCTTGACCCTTACCCCACTTACCCCCCCACCCCCCATGTGCTGTGTCTAGGACTTCCCACGTGGTTGTGGCTGGAGAGTTTGACCAGGGTTCACCCGCTGAGGAAATCCAGGTCCTGAAGATTGCCCAGGTATGCCCAGGCTCTGCTGGACACCAGGGAGGGGGGCTCAGCTGAGAGTGGAGGGACATGAGACTTGGGGGTGAGTGGCCCAGGACCGCCATTTGGAGCTCCTGTGGGTTTGTTCCCTTGAAACCTGCAGATCACTCATTAGGCTGGGCCCTCACCCACAGGTCTTCAAGAACCCCAAGTTCAACATGCTCACCGTCAGCAACGACATCACCCTGCTGAAGCTGGCCACCCCCGCCCGCTTCTCCCAAACTGTGTCTGCCGTCTGCCTGCCTAGCGCCCAGGACGACTTCCCAGCTGGCTCCCTCTGCGCCACCACAGGCTGGGGCAAGACCAAATACAATGGTGAGAGGGCTTCCAGGAAACCAAGGCACCACGGCTGGGGGAGGCTGGGTCCTGGCCCTCCTCCACTGGGCTGGATGGGGTGATGGGCCCTGAGTCTGTCTGTCCCTTGTCCTCCAGCCAACAAGACCCCCGAGAAGCTGCAGCAGGCCACCCTGCCCCTCCTGTCCAACGCCGACTGCCGGAAGTACTGGGGCAGCAAGATCACCGACAAGATGGTCTGCGCAGGCGCCAGTGGCGTCTCCTCCTGCATGGTACCGCCAGCCCCTTCCCCGGAGGCTAGGGTCACCACGCCCCGGCCTACCTGGGGCTGATGGTAACAACCCTAAAGGAGGGAGGCTGTCCCCTCTACAGACACTGAGCAGGTTGGGATGTTAGGCACCCCCAGGTCCTGCAGAAGTGAATGCAAAGCAGGGGCTAATCCCAGGTCCAGGTGTGGAGCACAGACACACAGAGTGGGTCTCCCCCCCCCAGCCTCCTCTAATTTCTCTGCACCCTCAGCCCCCTCTTGGACTCTGCCAGATTAGGGCACACTAAGTTTGGCAACCAGAAGTCCTTTCTTCCCCCACAGGGTGACTCCGGTGGCCCCCTGGTCTGCCAGAAGGACGGTGCCTGGACCCTGGTGGGCATCGTGTCCTGGGGCAGCGGCACCTGCTCCACCTCCTCACCAGCCGTGTACGCCCGCGTCACCGCGCTCATGCCCTGGGTTCAGGAGATCCTGGCGGCCAACTGAGCCCGTGGGTCCTGAACCCCCCCACCCAAGAATCCCCAATTAAAGCATCTGTACAGAAGCCGTGGCTGCATGCATCTCTTTGGTGTCTCGTGGGAAGTGGGTGCTGGTTACTTACCACAGGGAGTACAACTGTTCCACTGCCAGGTCCCCTCCAGGGTCACAGCGACGCCCACCAATTCCCCCAGCTCAGTCTTCTCTCCTCTGCACCTCCATAGCTTCAGATGGAACTCTGCGTCCTTCCAAGGCCTGTCTTGGGGGAGGCCTCAGACAGCAGTCCATACTTACCTGGCCAGCCTCTTGGCAGGAGTGGAACTGGGCTCCTGTCTGCATTTCTCTCAGCCCTTTCCCTCACCTTTCTTTGTCTTGTGGGATAGAAGGTGTTCTGATGGTAGTTCATGTTAAAAATGCCGTCAAGGCTGTTCCGACTCCTAGTGAACCTGCATAGGGTTTCTGCAGAGCAGCTGCTGGGTTTAAACGGCCAATCCTGCTGTCGAGTGCTTAGCCTATATAGCCACACCAGTATTCAATGATGGTGGTTCATAGTATGGAAATTAAGATGATAAAGGCAATGTAAAATTTTAACTAGCAACAGCAGGAACAGATTTTAAACAGCTGAACTTGATGTAGAGAATAATGTGTAAGAGAAAAGAAAAGTGAGTAGGGCTGGTGGAGCTTAAATATTAAAAAAAAAAAATTATAAAAAGTCTATACTTGTAAGGATAACTGCTCTGAAACTCAGCACAAGACAGGTTTTATCATTACACCAAGAACCCTTTTAACTAAAGAGCTCTGGTAGCACAGTGGTTACGTGTAGGGCTGTTAATCTCAAGGTCAGAAGTTTGAAAGTACCAAGAGTTCCATGGGAGAACGAGGCAGCTCTCTGCTTGCGTAAACATTTACAGCCTCAGAAACCCTGTACAGGCTCACAGCAAGTCGGTTCCACGGCACATAACCACAACCACCACCACCACCACCACCACCATACAGTGCTGTGGGCTACAAAGTCACTTGAACTGCAAGGTCAGTGGTTCAAGCTCACCAGCTGGTCCTTGGAAACCCTACTCAGGGTCACTATGGGTCAGAACCTCCTCCACGGCACTTAACAACATCCAGGGTCTCTGAGATGGAACTGACTCCACAGCACATCACCACCACCATCAAGAACCCTTTACTATACACAAGTGAGTGTGATTTATATAAACATGGAGACGCCAACACTTACTTGTCAAGATGAACCACCTCCACAGGTAACCATGCGCCTTCTGGTGGCAGAGAGCAGCAGACCTGGGATAACACTGGCACCTGGTGGCCAACATGAGCATTGCAACGTAGAGGCATAGTGGTTGTTTTTGCTACGCGCCATCCGGTCAGTTCTGACTCATAGTGACCCTGTAGAGGGTTTCTGAGTAGTTGGTGGATTTGAACCACCAATCTTGTGGTTCAAACTGACACTGCAGTTGAGTGCTTATCCTACAGTGCTAACCCAGGACTCTGGCATAGTGGTTAGTAGGTTACTAACCAAAAGGTCTTCTGACGTGGCGCTGTAGGATCAGCACTGGACTACGAACCACAAGGTCAGCAGTTCAAACCCATCAGCTGGTCTTGGAAACCCTACACAGAATTGCTATGAGTGAGAACTGATTTGCTGGCACTTAACAAAAACAACCAAAAGGTTGGTGGTTCAAACTCAAATCCACTCGTAGGAGAACGATACAGCAGTCGGCATGGGGCAGTTCTGCCCTGTCCTCTGAGTGTGGCTATGTTATGACTCAACTCGATGGCAGTGGGTTTGAGGTAGTTTTTCTTTAGCCCAGTGGTGTTCAAAAGAAATACGAGCCAAAAAAATAATTTAGAATTATCCAGCAGCCATAGTAAAAAAGCAAAGAAATGGGTCGATTAAACTTAATAATATATTTATTTGACCCAATATATCCAAAATATCATTTCATCGTATCATCAATATTTAAAAATTACTGACAATGAATCCTTGAAATGTTTGTGTATTCCCTTTTCCTCAGCACATTGTCATAAATTAAGTGTCCAGTGGTCCCTTTAGGTAAGTATTGAGGAAATGATTATTGTGAATGCTGGCCTCTCCTCTTCCATGGGTTCCAGGTGCAAACACTGACTTAGACCTGGAAACTAGGTATTCCATCATGATTTTTAAAAACCAGCCTGGTGGTCATCCATTCTTGATTTCTTTCTTTTGCTTGTAAGGATCGAACAGTCTCCTTGTTAGTGGTGCGTCTGGTCTGCCCCTGGCACGCCAAGTTCTATGAAATGTCTCCACCAATCATGACGCAAGACCCAGATGCCATCCTGCCTTGCCAGCTTGTTAGGATTCCAGCACCTACGTGGCCCTATAGCTATGGGCTCAGGCACCCTCACCGTCATCACTGGTCCAGTACCTCCTAACATCCGCCCTGGCACATTCCTTACAGTGTTGGAGACAGATGGAACTTCCGGGACATCTTTAGGGCCGGCATTTTGCCAGACAGTAGATCCACTCTGGCATGTCCATTTTTTGGAGCCTTGTAATCCCTTTCCCACCATGAGCACAGTAATTCTGGCATTTTGGTCTCCTTTAGGGTGGTCCACTGCTTTTTCTAAGCAACACTGATGAACACCATCTTAGGTACGGGCATGTGATTTTGTTTCTTAGGGGAAGTCTCATGAGTAAGACTCCTGGGTTGAAAACTTATGTGTGCTCTCAATGTTTAAAAGCAGAGCTACCAGATTTTCCAGGGAGGTTGTCTCCAGTGCCATTTCCAGCTGGTGAGTATGACATTAACCTTTCGTTCTGCTTCCTTGCCTTTAGTAGCTACGATGATAAAGACTTACTGGGCTCTGGGTGTTCTCAAAAAGTCCCTCACACTCATTCATAGGCCTTACAGGTCGCACTGGCTTTATAGTCTAGCGCAGTATCATACCAGGACAGCTGCATTAGGCCAATTCTTACCTGCCCTTTAATGTTACGCAAATGTGGCCTCACTTTGAAATGACTGAACCAATTCCTATTGGAAAAAAATTAATCACATTCACCTTTATTGGCTGCACATTCAGCCTTTAAATCACTGAAAAGGGTTTCAGGCTTTTCTTTAACTAAAGTAAGGGCTAACAAGAAGCATATGCACCTGGTTTGCCTCACCTACAGATTCTTAAAGATAAAGGAGCGGATCTCATTTGTAACCCAGGCACTGCCTGACTAGCCAACACATCAATGATCTTTCAGAATAAATAATAAATAGAAACGCTGCCATTTTCAATTCTAAAGCATGATTTGTAATTGACAGGCAAAGACTACACTTGTAAATTTGCAACCAAGCCTAAATGGTGTATTTTTGAGTTGCAAACAAAAAGATAACTTTTAAAAAACATATTAATCATCCAACAGTATATGGAGAGGCCACTGAAAGTCTTTTTAAGCATCTGCTTTGTGAACTTTCAAAGTAAAGTTATAACTTATACCAAGTCAGGTTCCAAAAGACACCAGTTTTAAATTGATTATAATGAAACTCAAGGAAGCAACAATGTTTCCTGTAAACAACATAACACATTTCCATTTCTAAAGTGGGAATTTAAAAAAGTAACATAACAGACACTTCTTGACAATTACACAAAATAAGTTATTCTTGCTCAAGTTTCTGAAATGTAGCTAATACTTGTGAACGATACAATCATCCTCAAAATTATGCAACACAACTAATAAAATATTAAATATTAAGAGAAGGCAACACACAAATAAAAAATGGGTGGTATCTGGGTAAACAATCACTTGTTAACACTCACGCATTCATTTGCAAATACCACACTGAAATACAGCAAGAGCCTGAAGGAGGGAATGTTCTCTCTACACAGCATGATTCTATCCTGTGGTGCCAACTCAGTAGCACAGCCCATGTTTCCTTTCACTCTCTACATCTCCTTTTGCGTGTCTAATCTCTGCATATTTATGTAAATTCTTCTTCTAGAAAATCTTTAGTAAACCTACACGCAAGTTTAAACTTCAACATTGTCTTCTGTTTACTGAAGAGGCAGCTCAGTAACAAACACTGTTGTGAAGTGCTGTTGAATCGATTCCGACCCCTAACGACCCTGTGTAGGGTTTACAAGGAGCAGCTGGTGAGCTTGAACTGCCAACCTTGCAGTTCCAATAGCTTTGTAGTGTGGCACATTAATCCACAGCGCCACACCAGGACCCCAGTAACAAAAGTAACACTACATAATTAGATACTGTTTATCCACCCTCCATCAATTCATATTATGTGAGCAAGCGGCAAGAGAAAAGGCATGGATGTCACGTTCTACTTTAAAAAACTTGTCACATATTTGATTCTGAATGCATTCTGGGTTGTAAAGGTATTGAAACACACATGTAATGTTTAGTTAAGAAAAACCTTGTTTGATGCACCCTAATTATCACATAGGGCTGGGACTTTAAAGACCCTGGGACTTTGTTAAATTCACTTGTACAGCTCTAAAACATACAATTTGTGTTTTGTGGCATCATCTTACACACAAACACTACATAATTAGATACTGTTTATCCATCCTCCATGCTGCTGTCTGGAATATTATATTCATTCAAGGTTTTAAAGCGCTTACTGCACATATTTACAATTGGACATAATTTGTTATGCAATCTTCAGCTGGGTATCATATTTAACTTTCAGTATAACATTGGTTTTATGGGATCCTATTTTTACATATTTCTGAGTTGATAGATTGTATCTCAGCATGAGTTCCCATGTTACTTTAGTACCTTCATGAGGTTTCTCCCATGCTGGAAGGACTCTTAGGGAAGAGTTCTCCACAGTTCAATCTGGCTGCCATCTCAAGGTTTGTCCACTATATGAACTCTCTGATGGACACTGAGTCGTGACTTCCTGCTGAAGGCTTTCCCACATTCAGAACACTCATATGGTTTCTCTCCTGTATGAATGCGCAAATGTAACCTAAGGGTTGACCTCTGGCTGAAAGTTTTGCCGCATTCAGTACATTCATAGGGCTTCTCTCCCGTGTGAGTCCTCATGTGTATGATGAGCTGGGAGTTCTGGATGAAGGATTTCCCACACTCACTGCACTCATAGCGTTTCTCTCCCGTGTGGATTTTCTGATGTATGATGAGGTTTGACTTTTTGAAGAAGGTTTTCGCACATTCATTACACTCATAGGGCCGTTCACCAGTATGGATTCTTTGATGAGTGGTGAGTTCAAACTTCTGTGCAAATGTTTTTCCACAGTCACTACACTCATATGGTTTCTTCTCCATATGTGCCCGCTGGTGCACAATGAGGTTGGACTGGTGGGTGAAAGCTTTTCCACATTCAGGACATTCAAAGGGTTTCTCCCCAGTATGGATTCTCTGATGTTTAATGAGGTTTGCCTTGTGGGAGAAGGTTTTCTTACATACATTACATTCATAGGGTTTTTCTCCAGTATGGATTCTCTTGTGACTAATGAGGAGCGATTTAAAAGAGAAGGCCTTGTCACAGTAATTACAAGTAAAAGGTTGAACCAAATTTTTGATTTTCTGATGCTTAAAAATTGTTTCTTTGTGGCTGAGTGCTTTGCCACTTTTATTATATTCAGGGTATTCCAGGCCAGGGTGGGTTTTCTCCTGCTTCAGGTAGAGGTGCGTTTTTCCAAATCCACTGCACTCCTCAGCTTTCTTTCTTGCATAGCTTCCATTGCTATTTAATAAGTCTACGTTACATTTCAATGTTTTTTCATATAAGTCATATTTATAGGGTAATTGTCTTAAAGAAACAAAGTCTGTGCTCAGATTAATTGTTTTTTCAAAGAGATTACCTCTTTCCTCCACCGGGGTTTGGTTCCTGAGGATTCGAAATTGCCTCGCCTGCTTGTCTGGGTTTCTGAGGTCCCTTTCCATCTGGTCATCAGCCTTCCACACTTCTAGGAAACAGCACAGTGAAAGAAGACACTTTGTCAGCCCTTTCTTAGTAAGGAATGGAATGAGGAGTCTCCACAAATGTTCTATTACTGGGCTGATTTGTTCAGGACCCAGTCTCCTAGGATTGAAAAATCCTCAATGAAAAATTTCCTTTTCTCTCACAAACTTTGAAAAAAAAAGATCAACTCTTGTGACAATTACTGGTTGGAAGGAGACTGGTAGAACCCTGAGACCAAGGGTCCTTAGCTACCTTTCAGGCCTGGAACTGAATTCACTTCCCCTGCAACCTCCCCACCCCTCCCCCGGCTTAATTTTCAGCCAAACAATAGAAAGGTATATAAGGGGCAAGATAACACTAGGGAAGTAGACACTCCTTAGAATAATCAATCATTTGAAATCTCAAGACAAAGTTCAGAAGGGTTAGGAAAGGAAGAGGGACAGACACAGGAAACAGGGATAAAGCGAGATAAGCAATGTCACATTGTTGGGATGGCAATCAATGACATGAAACAAAATACATAAAAACTGTTCAATGAACAACCGACTTGCTCTGTAAACCTTCACCAAATACTCAATAAAAAGAAAGAAAGAAAGAAAAACCCACCCCCAAACAACAACAATCCTGTGGCAAACTAAGAAGGGAAAACGGACAATGGATACAAGCAGCATCAACAAATGACAAAACAACCTTAAAAAATGGGTCAACTCCAAGATGATGCCTTTAGTTACCCTTTAAGTTGGGAACTGAACTCACCCTGATGGCTCAGCTTGCAGCCAAAAGATGGACAGGCCTACAAGGGGACCAACGTCAGGGTGTGACACACTTTACAACAATGAACCACAGGAGAGCCAAAGAGTAGCATTTGTACAAGGCTGGAACTCAGAAGGCACAGGAAAGAAGGACGAAGACAAACAGTCAAGCCAGGGAGACAGGGGAGACTGCTGCTATACTGTGGGGATTGCAGTTAGTGTCACAAAACAAATGTGCATGAAGCGTCGGGTGGGAAACCAATATTCTCAGTAAATTTTCACTCAAATCACTGTGCAGTAACAAGAAAAAAAAACCAGGTGGAGAAGGTGAGATAAAGACAAAGGACAGCACACCGAGGACAGGTGTTAAGGAGACTGGACACCTCACAATGTCACAGTGAGCAAGAGACCCAGAAAAGGAGGTGATGCCAGTGAACAAAGCCTGTGCAAAGCTAAGCTTAGCGAGTAACGTTTGCCCCTACATTACAGTGTCTGGAGAAACTTAAGTCTCCATGCTGCTAGGCTTTGTCCCCATCTTTCTTCTCTATTCACAGATACCAACATAACTTCCTTCAAGAGCAGAGCTTCTCCCCAGACCAGTTTTGTCTCTGCTTTTATATCTGGTTTTGTTTGATGGAGCCTGAAGGAACAAACTGCCCTAAACCCAGGCTTTTAATGGCCTTGATTTTCCTCTTTCTGTATTACTGGCTATTTCTGACTCTTGCGATGCTTCTGCCATCTGTGTCCAGGACAACAGTATCACTCTTGTACTGAAACAGTGGTATCTTCCCTGAGATTACTATACACCAATGACCATGACACTAAAATGTAAAATTCACCATTCTGGCAAACTGAGACTCCTGAAGAAAGAGCAACTGATCACAACACAAAGGTTTAAGATGTGCTAGGCAAGTATCAGGTTCAGGGGGTGGGGCCAGGGGGCGAAGGCTCAACGATAGATGTTATCCAGGGAGAAGGCGGTAATCGGAGGTGCGATTCAGAGATCTGAGGAATACAGGTCATTTCCCCCAGCCATCTCTAAATGTTTAGGGATTCGAAAGAGTCTTGAAAAATACTTCAAAGGTAGTAGCTCATTCACAATTCCTGGAATATTATTTCCAGTGGCTCCTCGCCATCTGGCTCTCCTTCCTACCCTCCACTCTTCCATAGAAAGCTCGAGATTGGCCATTCTACCTCTCACTGCTCCAACTTCAACACTGATATTATTAGAAAACTTGTTAAGACAGACGTAGCTCTTCACTGCCTGGATTCCAAAGACCTTGATAATCAAGAAACCAAACTTCAGGGGATGCACTATTTCTCAGCTAGAAGCTCTATTTAATACTCGAAGCTCAAGGCCAAAACCATTTAGGAATTTAAAACCCCATCGATTCTGATTCATAGCAAAGCCACGGGGTTTCTAAGGCTGTGATCCTTACAGTCTCAGCTTTCTTCCAAGCAGCACCTGGTGGGTTTGAATCACAGGTCTTTTAGCGGAACACTTTAACCACTGCGCTATCAGGGCTCCTCAGTAACTCGGTGAAGTCCATATTTGGTCACTGACAAAGGGCCTGGATGCTATGAGGCAAACATTGCACTATACTGGAAAGTCATTCTTACCCACTGAAAGTAAGTTGCTATAATTCTCCAGCATCACATCCATGTACAGGATCCTCTGAGAGGGGTCCAGTTGCTCCCATTCTTCCTGGGTAAAGTCTACAGTCACATCCGTGAAGGAAACCGATCCCTGAAATGGTATATTGCTATTCACTCTGACATGACCAGCGTTTAGTGATGTAGAAAGAATGTGAGCAAAGTTATTTTACAATGTTGTTGTAGAACAGTCACTCATGACAGAAATTCACGTAAGAAACCAACCGTACACCTTGTTTATTACGTGCATCCTGTCAGGTCTCCAAACTAACTTTCAGAAATCGTTAAAACAGTATTCAGTCTTCTCTCTCTCTGACGCTGTCATACTTGACAGGGATCTAAGATGAATAAAAGACTGTTTCTGCTCTCCAGATGTACAGAGCAAGATGAGCAGAGAAATGCCATTTGTAATCGATGCCGCCAGTGCGGGGATGAAGCTCACGTATGGTCAAAGCACCACTGCAAAAGCAGTGCTACAAAGCTCAGCAGTGTTTTCATGGACTCAAATTAGGCAATATTAAGAGCTAATCAATAGCCTTGACTGTTTAAAGGTAGAAGATGGACTTCCAATTTTAACACAAAATATTGGTTACAATTTAAAATCTCACTACTCACCACATCACTCCATAAAAATAGACAAAAAGGTATTTGGAAACTATATGGCTGAGTTAATTAGCATTAGACACAGCTGACAAGATGATTAGTGAAGTAGAACACAGGTCAGGAGGAAATATCCAGAATGACTTACAGAAAGAACAAAAGACAGAAAGGCTAAGAGACACATGGGACAAGTTACAAAGGTCTTAATACACTTGAAATATAAACACCCACAAAAGTTATTCAAACCTCATGAGAGAGAGCCAAGGGACTGGTGGTATTTGTGACCCTATGAGGCACATGATGAGCATGGTTTGTTTCTTACTACTGGTATCTGTTACACTGTCCTTGAGTTTTACCCACTCAGGCTGTTTTATTTCAATAATCTGGTTCTTTAACAACTTCCCCAAATGCCCTGAAAACAAAATGAGGAATAAATAAACAACTCACCTGGGATTTGTTCATTTTCTACAGCTTCTGAGTGAAGGCAGAACTAAAACAGAAGAAAAAGTACAGTACTGTTATTAAAGACCTGATCTGCCTCAGAATGCCTAGAATTAATAGTAACAACAACAAAATCTAAATCCATTACTGTCAAGTTAATTCCAATTCATAGCAACTCCACAGGACAGAACAAAACTGCCCCATAGGGTCGCCAAGGCTGTAATTTTTACAAAAGGAGCAGTCGGTAGATTTGAACCACGACATTTTTGGTCAGCAGCTGATCCCTTAACCACTGTGCGGACACCAGGGTTCCTTTGCCTAGAGAGGGGATAGTCCCTTTTGTCTTTTGAGAAGGGGCAAAGAAGATCACACTGTGGTGGCATCCACCTGTGGGACCCGAAACTCTAACAGGGCCAGGAGGAGTGTGACAAGCAGCTTTGTCTACAGTGGGAGGGGCCAGGGGAATAAACAAGCAGGTAAGCAAAGCAAAATAAAAACAAACATAAAAATAACCATTCATTTGAAAGTTATAACTATAAAACAAAGTGAACTAAAAGAATTGGAAAGCAAAATGTAAGTCTCAGGGAGACTACCATGCAAACATTATGCTGTTAAGTGCGTTCCGACTCAGCAACCTTGTTCCCAAGGAGTGGCTGGTGAGTTTGAACCACCAACCTTCCGTTTCAAACTGACCATGAGATTGAGTGCTTATCCTATGGTGCCACACCAGGTTCCAATCAAAGCACTGCAGGTTCCTCGAATTGGAAATATTAAAGTCACGTGGCACAAGCGGTGAAACACTCAGCTTCAAGGTCAGTGGTTTGAATCCACCTGAGGTCCCTTGGAATAAAGGCCTGGAGAACTGCTTCAGAAAGATTCCAGCTACTGAAAACCCTATGAAGTGCAGCTCTACTCTAAATGGTAAGGATGCTAGAGTTGAACTGGTTACTAGATGCACGTTAATAACTATTGTTGTTAGGTGCTGCTGAGTCAGTTCCACGCACAGCGACCCTATATGCAAGAGAGCCAAACACTGCCCAGTCCTGCGCTATCCTATCCTCCCTAATCACTCCTGTGTCTGAACTCATTATTGCAGCACTGTGTCAATCAATCTCACTGAGGGTCTTCCTCTTTGTTGGCCACTCTTTACTAATAACTATGAGAAGAACAAAAAAGTAGAACACATTTCCAGAAGGAGATAAAACTAACCAGTCAAAAGAATAGCCAAACAAGAAAACAAAGTAAAGCATTAAATTAGACAGAAATGCATCCAAATGTCAGAAACCATAATACTCTAAAATAACCAGGTAGAAGTCAAGATTTTCAGATTGAAGACATTACTAATAAAACAAATTACCACAGAATAATGTTGCTATTTGGTATCCTAGTGTGGTGCTGTGGGTTAATGCGCTGCACTGCAAAATTTGTTGAAACTGTAAGGTCGGCGGTTCAAGCTCACCAGCTGCTCCTTGGAAACCCTATTCAGGGAAACTATGAGTTGGGTCGGAACCGATTTGATGCACTTAACAACAATGTTGCTCTTAAGTGTTGTGGAGTAGGTTCCCATTCATAGTCATCCTGTATAGGGTTTCCAAGGAGTGGCTGGTGGGTTTGAACAGCCAACCTTAGAGTTGGCAGCCCAGTACTTATTCTAGAATGCTACACCAGGGATTCCATAGAATGATGTCATTGTAGATCTGAACCACTGACCTCGTGGTTTACAGCACCACACCAGTAATAGAACGAAAAAGATGTGAAAAATCAAAACCTTTATCCCTAACAGAAGAGTAGGATGAAGGAGAAAACTTGACCCCAGACCCCAGGGGTAAGAACACTCAGCTAAGCCAGGCAAGAGGACCAGAGGTTACTCCTTTGCTCTCCTCCACAAAGAGGCTGGAACAAAACGAAGTCCTACAGTGTAGAGACACAAACGGAACACTCCAAAATAAGGTAATGTAGGAAGGGGAGGCCAGTCCCCTTCGGCTAAACTCAGGACTCCTAGTTCTCAAGCTGTAGTTCTGCACATGCTATAGCAAGGTGTCCTCTCCTCCAGATATGCATATCAAAAACTCATTGTTCTCTATGAAAGGGTAAGCAGCCCAGCAGCCTGAAGAGATTCCTACCTTTTCCTAGTTCTGCATCCAGCCCTTAACTGCTCTGCCACTTGGAAAGCTTGTACACCTCATGATTAGGGGAAAAGACTGTAGCCCACACCCCCAGCACGGAAAACCTTCACTGTCCAGTCAGCTGCCACTGGAAACTGCTATTTTTGTCCTTGGTCTGAAAGTTCCTTGTCAGCAAACCATCTCTCTTTTTTCTTTTCTGTAATAAAAATAATGTCTCTAGGACTGTCTCCCGGTTACTTTTTTGGTCTCTCAACATCTGTGTATGCAGAAAGCTTTTCCCTTCTGGGCCAGAACCCCAACACACAGGCAAGAGGATGAAGAATGAACATCTCTGAGGTCCAGGTAAGCCTAAAGCTGTAGGGAGAAGAGAGGCGTGGCTGGTGGTGGTGAGTTCAGTTTTCAGAGATCCCACATAACAGTAAGCAGAACTGTCCAATGGCCTGTCTAGACTGTAATCTTGACAGGAGCAAATCGCCAAGTCTTATTCCCGCAGAGCCGCAGGGTGGGTTGGAACCGCCTTTTGCACAGTCAGGCTCCCTAGAAACGTGTAAATATGTGTCGTGTGTGGTGAGGACAACTGCCCCGAAATACACTGATAGCAGTGAGCCCGCCCCGCTCAACCCCACAACCCCACAAGGCACATGTCCTGACGTCAATGGCCCGGAGGTCGGCACGCCCACTAGAGGCATAAACACGCTTCACCTGGGCCCTGCTTCCTACAGGTGATGTCCAGACTTCTCAAAGGGCAAATGAAAAGCCACTGGCCACTCCTGTAACTTAAGTACCAGCAGACTGTGTGACCTTTCCCTCTCTGAACCTCCGCTTTTTCTGCTGAAAAGGGAAAGAGCAAACCGACTGTCACAGGGTCGGCGTGAGGGCGGACAGAAACACTGAACTATTCAGACTCTGTAGAGAGGTCACGGCCCGTGTCCACCGCGCCCAGGGGCCCGGAGGTGTCCGCCCGGCCGGGCCTCGTCTCTCGCCCCCGGCGCAGGCCCCTCTCGAGTCACTAGTCCGGACAAAGGGAGGAAGCGAGTCCTCGCCGCCGCAGTCCGCCGCCGCCCGGCTCCGAGGAGCGCGCCCCGCAGCCCAGGATGCCGCCCCGAGGGTCAGCGGCGCCCACGAGTCGCCGAAGTTTGGGCTCCCACCCCGCGCGGACACGAGCCCGTCCCGCACCCCCTTCACGCGGCCCCCAGGCCCCGCAGAGCTGCCAAGCGGTCCCCCTAGTACCTGAAAAGGGCACAGCCTCCACTCGCGGCTCAGTGCCAACCCGGGCCACAGTGCGGGGTAGCAAAGACGCGGAGACAGGGGTCCTGTCGCCCACTCGCGGCTGGACGTGGGGGAAGGGGAGCTTCCAGCGCGCTCGCAGCACTGCACATGCGCAGACACAGGGGCCGCGCGCCGTTCCCAGGGTCCTCCGAGGGGTGGTCCTTCGAACTTGAGGACTACATTTCCCATAGGCCTCCGGGTCCGCGCCGTTCGGGACTCTCGGGAAGATCTTCACTTTGGTTCCTCTGGTTTGAGCCTTCCGTGATAATTTCTGATCAAGGGCAGTTCGTTTATCCCTGAGTACGCTTGAATGGCAATCCCTTAACACGTGTGGAATCCCTTGCAAGCTTCCAGTTGGGAGTTTTGGGTAACTCTAGCCAAGTAAAAAACTCTGGCATTTACCAAAAACCAAGACTATAAAGCCATTCACAAATCTACTAGAGAAAACTGTAAAGAAAATACATCGGCCGTTATATTTTGAGTTCCTGCACTAGTGGAGATAGAAGAACAAGTTAAAAGGCTGAAATCTTTTAAAGCGTTTGGATGAGAAAACGGCTAGGTTAGGTTTCAGTAAGTTAAAGCCATATCATATTAATGCGATGGACCACAAAGTCGGTTTGAACCGCGGTTCAAGCTCACCAGCCGCTCCTCGGAAACCCCATACAGGGTCGCTATGAGTTGGAACCGACTCGAGGGTACTTACAAACATCAACAAATAACCATAACTCGATGACTTAGGCAGTGTCCTGTGGCTGGAAGTGTGTATTCCTTCAAATTCTATCGGGAGTTCCCTGCACCTGCTTAACCAGTGATGTGAAAGAGGTAAATAAGTGAAAAGTAAAGATTGGGAGGCAAGAAATAAGACTACCATTATAGATAAGTGATATAATCAGCCATCTAGAAAATAAAATAAAATAAACAAAATATTTAAGAATTCAGCAAGGTTGCCAGATACAAGATCAACCTGCAATTCAAATGATTTCTGAGCCATCCAGACCTTCAGGAAGATAACAGGGAGTTTGCGTTTGTTCCAAATGCCCGGGAAGGCCTTTGGAATGGATGCCGTCACTTAATTTCCCCATGTTTTACATAAGCCTCACCTTTCTAGAACAACACTGACCATGGAGCCTGACTCAGCAACCCCTGTCAGTGGCCACCTTAAGTGGCGCCACCTTAAGCAGGCTCCACCCCAGGCGCGGCCAATAGGCGGGGGTGTCTGTGCAGATTTGTTGCCGCCTGCCCCAGGCCCACACCCCTCTCTCCAGCCATGGCCCTTCTGCTCCGGGCTGCGACTTGGGGGCTGTCTTCCGGGAGGGGCTACTGCTCCAGGGGGACGCAGGTAGGCCTGCTAGGTGGGGGCCTGGTCCTGGTTTCCCCCAGGCACTGGGGCGTACTTGCTCCATGTGACCTTGGGTCAAGGGCCACTGGGTTCATCTGTGGCAAACGTGGGTGTCCAGTGGAGGTAGTACTGGCGCCACAGCTGCTGGACCCGGGCTGGGAGGAATGTCACGTGCAAGGTGTCTGGGCCCCAGTATATGTCCATACATGTTCTAAAAGACTGCTCAGGTGACTGTAAAATGGGACGACGGCCCTAGAAGGGACTCCAAGATCCCCATAGCTGCCTCCTGCATCTGTCCTGTGTTCCTGGGGCTGTGCTGGACTGTAACTTGGAGGATGAACTGAGATGCCTCACCTTCCTAAGACAGGGCTGGGTACTTGTAGGGACTTTTGCTGGCATCCTTTTTGTTTTAATTCTGGGTGGGGTGGGGGGAGGTGGCTCTAGGGGTCTGTTCAGGAAGGGTGTGTTCCTGTCCCTTGGGATTACCTAACAGTCCCACACAGCCTGGCAGGGCTGTTAGGTGTGGTACCAGTAGCCTGGTGGGCGAAAAGGCCAGAGGTGCTAGCAGCCCGCAGCCCTGACTTTCCCAGCTGCTCCTGGGGCCTGGCTGGGGCTCAGTCCCATCTGTTGGTTGATGCTGGCAATGTGCTTACCCCTGCAGGGTTCTCTGAGAGAGGTCTTTGTAGCAGCCCTGAGGGCTGTGGTGGGCCCCCCTCATGTGTCCACGTCTATTGCGGTTCGAGAGCAGCATGGACGGGATGAGTCCATGCACAGGTGGGTAGGAGGGAGGAGGGAGAGGGTCCTGGGTTGGCCCCCTCCCCCCCTTTCAAGGTACCCTGGTCCCTCCTCTGCACCTCTTTTCTGGTCCCACTCACTAAGTAGCCTTAGACCCAAGCTCCTTGATGGGGGAGCACACGCAGAGGTTGCCGTACCCCACTGAGTTGCTGCCTGGTTCTAGGTGCCAGCCTCCGGACGTCGTGGTCTGGCCCCAGAATGTGGACCAGGTCAGCCGGCTGACAGCCCTGTGCTACAGCCATGGTGTGCCTATCATCCCCTTTGGCACCGGGACAGGACTTGAGGGTGGAGTCTGCGCTGTGCAGGTATACTGAGGTCACTGCTTCACCACACAGGGGTCTGGGCAGGGTGCAGACCCAGAGACCAGATCCTGCCTTCTCCTGCCAGGGCGGCGTCTGCATGAACCTGACCCACATGGACCGGATCACAGCACTGAACCTCGAAGACTTCTCGGTGGTGGTGGAGCCCGGTGTCACCCGCAAAGCTCTCAACACCCACCTGCGGGACAGTGGGCTCTGGTTCCCCGTGGGTAGGATTGGGCCTCCTGCACCTTTCCTGGGGCCTTGGGGACTCCCTGGTGCTCTATCTGGGGGCCCTCTATCGGGGGCAGGGGCCTGCTGTCCACTTAGGCTGCCCTCTGTCCTCCAGACCCAGGTTCAGATGCTTCTCTGTGTGGCATGGCGGCCACTGGGGCCTCAGGCACCAATGCCGTGCGCTATGGGACCATGCGGGACAACATTCTGAACCTGGAGGTGGTGCTGCCTAGTGGGCAGCTGCTGCACACGGCGGGCCCTGGACGTCACTTCCGGTGAGTGTCCCTGCCGCAGATGTGTACCGTCTCCTGCTAGACCCGCTGTGCCCATGATGAAAACCAATGTGGGCTATATTGCACAAAGCTTGTGCCAGGGGACAGTCTGGGCCCAAGGGGCAGACCAGCACAGCTCTTGATCTCAGTTCTCCATGTGGCAGGGGACAGAGCCCTGGGTTCTGGCTCTAGTCCTCTGATGGGCCTTGGCCATGTCCCATTCTGAGTCCCAAAGCTACCCAGCCCCTAGATGTCTGTCTGCATTCAGCTGAGTCTCTTCCTTACCTGCTTTGTATGTCCTGGGGTCCAGGAAGAGCGCAGCTGGCTACAACCTCACGGGGCTCTTTGTGGGCTCCGAGGGAACACTGGGTCTCATCACGGCCGCCACTCTTCGACTGCACCCTGTTCCCGAGGCCACGGTGGCCGCCACCTGTGCATTCCCCAGTGTCCAGGCTGCCGTGGACAGCACTGTGCACATCCTCCAGGCTGCAGTGCCCGTGGCCCGCATCGGTGAGGCTGGGGCTATGCCATTCACCGTGGGCTCCCCCAGAAGCCTCCTGGAAGGCCAGGCCTCAGCTGCCCTGCCTTCTGCTTGGCCCCAGAGTTCCTGGATGATGTCATGATGGATGCCTGCAATAGGCACAGCCAGCTGAACTGTGTGGTGGCGCCCACGCTCTTCTTGGAGTTCCATGGCTCCGAGCAGGCCCTGGTGGAGCAGCTGCAGCGGGCAGGTGTGTGTGGGGTTTCAGTGGACAGGGGAGGGTTCCTTGGTGGTATGTGTGTGTGGAGATCTGTTGTCAACCCCTTTCCAACCCACAGAGGAGATCACCCAGCACAATGGGGGTTCCCACTTCTCCTGGGCCAAGGAGGCTGAAGAGCGCAGTCGGCTCTGGGCAGCACGTCACAACGCCTGGTACGCCGCCCTAGCTCTTCGGCCTGGCTGCAAGGTGAGCTAAGATGCGGTGGGGGTGGGGGTGTCCTGTGGCTCAGCCCAGGGTCCCTGACTCAACCAACGCCCCTCCAGCGCAGAGCAGCAATTAGACCCACAAAGGTACTGGCTCAGCAGGACCTAGAAACCTGGGCTGCAGGCTGCTCCCTCCGGTTGTTTCTCAAATGCTGTTTAGAGACCCTGGGATGAATCCTGAGTGAGGGGAAATGAGGGAGCAGGCAGCCACAGGGGGTGCACTTGGGAGTTGAAAGTAGAGGGAAGGCTTCCTGGAATATGAGCATGGGTTAGCCAAGCCCAATGCTCTAGAGAGGGACCGGTTTGTGCAAGGACCTGATAGTGTGGGGCACTGGGAACCTGCAAGTAACTGAAGGCAGGGAGCAGGTCCTGGGAAACTGAGACCTCGAGAGGCACAGGGATATTTTCTTGTTCGAAACGAAGTCCTTCCAGCTAGCTCTTGGCCTTGACCAGTGACTCTTAGTTCAGGCAGGAAGAGGGAAGCTCATGGTCCTGTCCCCCAACCCAGGGCTACTCCACCGACGTGTGTGTGCCCATCTCCCGGCTGCCAGAGATCCTGGTGCAGACCAAGGAGGACCTGAAGGCCTCAGGACTTACAGGTCCTGCCTACTCACTGCGGGGACTAGTGGGTGGGAGGTTGGCGGGCTGGAGGTGGCAGCTCTGTCTTCTTTGCCCCCAGGAGCCATCGTTGGACATGTGGGTGATGGCAACTTCCACTGTATCCTGTTGGTGGACCCCGAGGACCCTGAGGAGCTCCACAGGGTTGAGGCTTTTGCACAGCAGCTGGGCAGGTAGGGGTGGAGCTGGGTGGCTGAAGGCCATGGGGGAGGGCTCTGCTGAGGGCCTTCCTTTGTTGGCTCCCAGGCGGGCGCTGGCTCTCCATGGGACGTGCACTGGTGAACACGGCATTGGATTGGGCAAGAGGCAGCTGCTGCAGGAGGAGGTGGGCGCTGTGGGCGTAGAGACCATGCGACAGCTCAAGGCCACACTGGACCCCCGAGGGCTCATGAACCCAGGCAAGGTGCTGTGAGGGGCTGCCAGCATGCAGTCTACCAGCCCGCAGGCAATGAAGCGGCTCTGTTCCAGAACCTTCCATCACTACCTGGGGCCTCAGTCACCCTTGTGTATTTGGGCCCAAGTCCAGGGTCCCTGGCTCCTCCCTGACCTACTACTGTCCTGGGATCAGGGGCTTTTGTCTACTAAGTGGCTCCAGGTCATTCCTGAGGTGCCTCCTCTCTGCCTGGGGATAATAGGCGGGCAGGTCCACCTTCAGGACTAAGATAACTTCCTTCCGACTGAGCCAGGGACAAGCCAGGGGACCTGGCAGGCAGAGACTACCACCTGGTGACAGGAACTTAACTCTTCTATTCCACACAGCTGTCCTTCAATTGAACCCCAATCTAAATGAACCGCAGCTCCCCACCACCCACTCCAGGTTCTCCGTTGGACTGTGGTACCCCGAGTCCACACTCTTCCTGCCTTGTTGCAGCCTATGGTGAGGGAGGGGAGTCACTTAGGGAACTGGGTTCGTGTCCCACCTACCCCACCTGTGAGGACTGGAGAGTCAGTCTGAGAACTTGCCCTGCGGATATCACTCACTGGGACAGACTTCCCCACATGCTGGAACCTGGCCTGCGAACACTGTGGACAGGTTCCCCAAGTAGCTGCTGCCCCTCTGTAGATGTGGAATTGGCACTGTCTTTCTGTATCATACCTCTCCAGGGAGTCCTACTTGGTACTACCATCTGTTTTGTCCTGAAAGCCAGTCAGGGCCTGCTCCCCTTGGCCTGTCCCTCTGGCTTCAGTAGTTCTGTGGAACTTGGTGGTTGTTCCCTCAAGGGCCAGAAGAGGGCACCCGTTACCACAGAAATTCAGACAGCCTCTAGTCTGGGCACCCTGATCCGTGATGCCTGCCCCCCTCTAGGGTTAAGGAGAGAACCCTAGTGCCCTAGAAACCAACCTCTCAACTTCCACGCCCCCTGTAGTACCTTCTCAACTCCCAAGCCAGTCTTTGGACTGCCACTCCATTTCTTTTCTGCCTCTAACCCCCCCTTTGGCTCTTGTCAGCCTGGCTTTCCCTGATCCTGGGCAGAGGCCACCTTGCTCTAGTCTGGGCTGTTTTTAGTCCACAGGACCCTCCTCTATAATACTGGCACCGAAGCCAGCCCGGGAGCAACACCAGCCTTCGTCTAACGACCCCACAACTTCTCAGTCCATGGTGCCTTGGGTAGGGGCAGTGGCTATCCTATCAGCCACCCATTCTGCACTGTGCTGTCCCCTTGTCTCTGGAGGCCTCTGGCTGTCAGCTTTGGGGACAGGGTTCTTGGATGCACCCTCCAATGCCATCAACTAGTATGTGCTCACTGAATGGCCACTTCTCCGTTTTTATTCCGAATTAATTTCAAACATTTACAAAATGTCAAGACTAGAATGGTCACAGAAATACCAGCCACTGAAGTTGCCACAATAAACTTCTTTGCCTTCTTTACTGTTGTGTGTGGATGCTTGGGGTGGGGGGGTGGGGGGGCGGTAACCTCTGGAATGAAGTTGCACATTTCAAGACTAGCATTCCCCTTTAGACGACATCCTCCTACAGAACCTTGCTTTGTGCCCTGAAATCAATTCCAAGGTTATAATCATTACTTCATCTTTCTCCAATGGAGTGGTGATGGGTTCGAACCACCAACTCTTCTGTTAGCAGTTGACCATTATGCCACCAGGGCTCCTACAAAACCTTAATACCTGTCCTTACTTCAACAGCTATTAGAATTGATGAGGTGCCCAGTGGCCTCCCAGAAGCATGCAGAACCCACCTTCCAGAAGGCAGAGAAGGAGAAACAGGATTCCCGACAGCTGTCTACATGGAGGATGACAACTACCAGTTCTGTCTGGGAAGCCTAGGTACCCCCAGTTCTTCCCCCGCCCCAAGAACCAGCAAGCTGGGCCAAGGCATCCAGCAGAAGGCAGCCGTGTGCCAGGGAGTGGAAGGCGCTGGGGCTGGGGGTAGGTAGCTTGGAGCGTGTGCCCTAGCCTGACTTGGCGGGCACCAAGGCAGCCAGAACTAAGGCGCTGCTGGGGGCACACAAGCCTAGGGGTCAGCCAAGGAGATCTGCAGGGCTGGGACCTGCCCCACCAGCTTTGCTGCTGGAATTAAATATAGAACACAGAGACACAGTTGCCAGGCAGAAGCAGGAGGTGCTGTGAATAGAATGGTGTCCTTTGTGGTGGCAAAGCCCCCACTGGAGCCTGCTGTGAATGTGCCAGGTGCCTCAAGGCAGCTTCTCTGACCCTCACAATGACCTCCAAACTGCGGGTGTTGGGGGTGGGGTGGAGTGGGGTGGGCGGGTGTTCTGTCCCCACTTTACATGTGAGGAATCTGAAGTCTGGATGAACAGTCATTCCCCCAAGATCATCCCCGAGAAGCACAGGAGCCCGAAGCAGAACCGTTCTGGATTCTGCCCAGCTGCGTTGGTTTGGTAACCCGGTCTCGTTCTCATGTTAGGGTTCAAGCTCACCAGCAACATTCCTTCAGCATTTCTCCACTGGGCCTGGGCTCACGTCGCTGTTGGTCTGCAATGTCCACACTGAGTAGGTGCTCCAAAAAGCCTCTGAGGGAGAGACTTGCAGAGCCAGGGGCCACACTCCTGGCCTGATGGGGGGCTGGAGGCCAGAGAGGCAACAGCACAAAGACAGGCATGTCAGAGACCGTTCAGTCTGCCGGCACAGCCTCCCTGAGCTTGAGGCTCAGGAATGTGGTTCCAGCAGCCTGCCTGGCCCGGTTTGCCAACTTCTGGGAGCCCCGAGTGCCTGGTTTTCATTCAAGGGCTCTGAACTGGCTCTGTACCAAACCAAGGCCTCTTTCTGGGCTTCAATGAAGCATGCCCGTGAGTCAGCACTGAGAGGCTCGCTGACTGTCTGAGCAACAGGCAGGGCAAGATGTCGGCAAAGGAAACAGAGGCTGGGGCAGGTGGTTGTGTCCTAGGGGGTCAAAACACATCCTTGCAACTTCTGCTGGGATCTCTGTGCCCTGTCCCCCCTCCCCGCCCCCCCGCCAGATCTCCCACCATAACTACTCCACAGATGACACTTAAGAGGGTTAGTAAGCTTGTAGGACCCAGCCCTGACCCTTCTGAGACCCACTTCACATACCTGTAGCCTAAAGTAGTAGCCTAAAGGAATGCTAAGGAGGTGGGTCAGGGATTCGGGGGTGGGTGGGGGAAGGAAGACAGATTTCACCCCATTTCTTATATATACACCCCAATACTTCATAAAATAAAATCACACAAGGCACCTTATATCAGACATGATTTTAATACCATATCAAAAACACCTTGACTAATGAAGAAAACTTTTCCCCCCAAGCTTTGAACATTTTTTTTTTTTAACATTTTATAAGTTTTTTGTCTTTTAATATATAAATACAGAAACCTATGTTGCCTGGGCTGATTCCACGTGTGAACGTCAATGGCTAAAATGTTCTCAAACCAAGTTGCCTGAAAACAAGCGTAGGCTGTACAACTTTTTGAAGTCTTTTTTTTTTAAACATTTTCTTTGTTGGGGATGGAGTTGGAAATCCACAAGGATCTAAGAAAAATGTTCAGGCATTTTTGCAGGACACTTGTGATGGTTAAATCCTCTGAACTGGCCTGGACCAGGAGGAAAGAAGGAAAAAGAAATGGGGATGGAGGCAGAGAGAAGGTCCTCGGTGGGTGGCTTTTTGGCAATGAAGTCAAGCTATCAGGTCCCAAGGGGGAGGGGAAAGTGCAAAAGCAAGACAGAACAAATGGAAAGAAACAGCAACAAAAGGCGGTGCAGTTGGAGTTGGCGAGGAGGCTGAGCTGATCGAGATGCCGATGCCGCAGGGAGGAAGGGGCTGTGTTGTGTGGCTTGCATACACCACCTGAATGCGGGTGGCGAGCCCTGGGCCAGGTTTATCTCTGTCACCAAGTGGGTTACAGTTGGGCAGCAGACAGCAATCTGTAAACATCACGAGGAAAAACACCAGTCGACACTAGACTTTGTTTTGTTTTTTTTATAGTTTTTTTTGTTTTTTTTTTTGTAAACACTTTAAAGACAGACCCACAATGCCTTTCAAAGGTGAAAAAGAAAAGTGCCCTTTCCCTCCTGGGATGAGGGGCCAGGGGAAGGGTGATGGTTGGTGCTTTCTTCTCGCAAACTCGCTCTCTTCAATGGGGGTGTCCTTGGGGAGAAAGGGAGAGCCATTCTCTGGAAGTCAGTGCATGAGGGGTGCCCTGTCCCCACTGGTGTCCCAAGCTCAGCTCTGCTTCAATGTCTGATGAGCCGCCTCTCTCAGAACAGGGCCTGTCTGTCTCTGTGTGGATCGTAATAAATTAAGTCGTGCTCCGTCTGGCCAGAGGGCCGCCGTGTGCCATCCTGCTGGGGTACAGGCCGGGCAGGCGGGTAGGCTGTGGTTCCGCTCAGGGAGGCCCCTGAAGCCAAACATCATGCCGGGAATTTGCAGGTGCACTCCAGCGCGGGGCTCCTTGCCCTCTGCCTCTCTCTCACCCGGGCCTTTTTCTTCTCCCCGGGTCATCATTGAGGTGAAGGTAAAAAGAGCAAATGTCCCTGATTTGTCTGACATCATCAGTTGTTCTGGGAGTTTACTTGGAATAAATAAAATAAACCTAGCAGGGGAAAAAAAAAAGAAGGAAAGAAAAAAGGGAGAGAGAGAAAAAGACACCCCAAAACCTTTGGGTGTGAGGTAAGGTGGAGTCAGGGGTTTGGGCTTCTCTGAGGGTTTTGTGTTTTTGTCAGAACTGAAGGGCAGGTAGGATGACGGCAGAGGAATAAGGGTACACAGAGTACACCTGTGGATGGGCTGAAGTCTCAGACTTGTTGGGACGTGGGGGTGAGGGAAGTGGCTTGGGTCAGTAAAGACAATTGTCAACAAACACATCCTCCTCTAAGCTTTTTCACTGAATGAGGGCAGCGTTCACATGGGAGAGCCCCGATTAGTGATCAGCGAAGAAAGGGAGACACCAAGAGGTGAGGGATTAGCCCCAAGTCGGGCAGAGAGGTCAGGGCGAATGAGGTGTGCCCGTGGTGTCTGGAGAGTGTGCTGGGGAACACTCCTGGACTTTTTCCTGGGAGATTCCTGCACACCTAGAACACAAGGGTCTATTCTCCCTCAGAGAGATCCTTTGTCTCTTGAGCACATTCGTCTTCAGAATGCGCACATCTTAGTTTGTTTCATTTCCTCTCCTCCCCTTTCCCAGCCCCACACTGCAGACAACTGGGGTGACAAAGCCTGGGTCTGCACCCCTTCCCAACAGACTCACCTTTGAGAGAAGTCAGCGAGCACGCCCGGCAGGGTCAGTCTGTGGGGTGTTCTGGACAAGATCTGTTCACTTCAAACCACGAATCTATGCAACTGAGTGGAGGGGAAGGCAAGGGAGAAGATGTTTACTGCTGACCACACTGTTCCGTGGGAGGTGCTTGGGGATATGTTTCAGAGGGTCAGATTCCTGAACATTGGGTTTCCTAAGACTTTTCTGGAAGGAACCCAGGGGAAAACAGCTGTATCTCCAGAAGCAGAGAGGAAGCAGACCATCAAGATGGAATTTGGCGAGGTTGGAAGCAGCAGCCTACTGGGGCAGTTCTAGGTTGGGGATTGGGGTGGGGCTGGGCCCTGCAGGAAGCGGAAGACCATTGCCTGAAGCCAGACCAACACTTTCATACCCAGAGCCCAGAGGGTGCCAACAGCAGTGAGTGAGAGAGGCGCAGGCTGAGCGCACACAGGGCACCGATCGATCACTACGGAAGGCGGGAGGTAGGAAGAAAGATGCGGCTGGCCATGACTTTAGGGTCCTGGGCGCTCTCTCCCTGGTCTATAAAGGTACACCCTGATGCTCCCTTCAGGGGTTGGCTTCTCAGGGGACCCCCACACTCTGCCTGGTTCTGCTGTGGTTGGCAGCTGGCCTCTTCCCTTCCCGGAGGCGGTAGGGACGGGACTGGAGGCGGGCATTCCTCGTAGTGATGATGCTAAGAGTGAGCCAGGGAGGAGGCTGCCAGGAAGCCCTATCTCTAGTGTTTACAGAGCAACCCGCCCTAATCGAAGGGGGAACAGAAATTGTCCCAAGAGAACTCTCTGACTTATAAATCACCATCTGGGTATTTTCAAAGATAGGAACCAGACAGACAATTTGCATAATTCTCCACAGGGCCCAAGATTTCCTAATTCTGGTTCTGGTTAGCACTTCCCTGGGACTCTGTCCCCAAGGCCAAGCCAACCCCATCCGCATGCTGGCCTGTGTGTCATGCAGCAGCTTGGGGCTTGGGGCGCCAGGAAGTAGGCGGTAGCCACAAACAGCACGCATACCCCTAACAGGGGAGAGGCACCTCATTCCAGTTTGGGGTCAGAATAGGGTATAGGGGGGGTGAACACCAGCAGCCCAACAGGTAACAACAATGCGAGCTCCTGACCCCTGGGAGCTGAGGCCCACATAGGTGCCAGGTGGCACCTCCTTCATGTGCCTCTCTTGCACTGATGAAGGCTCTTACCCGTGGAGTAGGGTAGACAGGTCAGTAAGCACCTCCACTCTGCAGGCCCCAGGGCTTACTCCAATTGCCCCAGCAGAGCTAAGCCTCTGACACATTGGCTCAGCTGCACTTGGGGGGCTTGTCCCTGTGGGAGGGGGATGCACCTGCTGGTACCTTTTGTGATAAATGCACAGGCAGGGCAGTCTGGCTATCGTGTCTCCCTGAAGAAGCTCCTCCAGGCAGATCACACACTCTCCAGCATCTTTAGTCAGCACGTCATCTGCAGGAGAAGGGGAAGACTGGGGGTTAGTCAGCAACACACAGTGGCACAAAGCAGTCCCAGTTGGGGTCTCTGGGGTAGCCTGGACACTGAAGTCCAAGATGGGCCTCTGCCTTAAGGCCCTTGTTGATAAGAAGGCATTAATACCCAAGTGGGCCAGGGAATGGAGGACAGGAAGGCTTGGAGAGGGAGAGCAGTGCCAGGTGGGTCGTTCCTTACATCTATTGTTATTGTTGTTGTTATTAGGTGCTGTTGAGCCATCTCCAAGCCATAGCCACCCTACGTACAACACTGCCCGCTCTTGCACCACCCTCCTAACTACTGCTAAGCTTCAGTCCATTGCTGCTGCCACTGTGCCAATCCGCCTCGTTGTGAGTCTCCCTCTTTTTCACCGACCTTCCACTTTACCTCTTCCAGGCCCCTCCTGATAGTATGTCTGAATTATGAGAGATAAACTCTAGTCATCTTGACTTCTAAGGAGCATTCTGGTTGTACTTCTTCCCACACAGATTTGTTTGTTCTTCTGGCAGTCCATGGTACCTTAAAATTCTTCTCCAACATCACAACTCAAGTGCATTAATTCTTCTACAATCTTTAAAATTCACTGTCCAACTGAAAGTTCCCTACATAAGTTGTTGTTGGTAAGTGCTGTCGAGTAGGTTCTGACTCACAGTGACCTTGTATAGGGTTTCCAAGGAGTGGTTGGTGGGTTTCAATTGCCAGCTTTGCGGTTAGCAGCTCAGTGCTTACCCTACAACGTCACGCCAGGACTCCTAACATATGTGCAAGGCAGACGGTTCCTTATATGTGCTGTTAAGAGTTCCCTACATACACTGTTCCCCTAAACACATATAGAAGGGGGGGCTTCAAAAAGTTCATGGAAAAGTGGAATTAAAAGATAATGTAATTTTTCCACGAACATTATGATGTGTGGCCCTGAGGGGTCAATGTGCTGGACTGCATAGTGGGTGTTTAACCACAAGGTCAGCGGTTCAAGTTCACAAGCTGCTCCTTGGAAACCCTATACAGGGTCGCTATGGATCAGAACGAACTCCACAGTGCTTAACAACAACAACATATGTCAAAATACACTAATTTCTGATTTGGGAAAAACTGGTAATGGTGAGAATGGCATGAGGCAAAAAACGAAGGGAAGCAGACTATCATGGTCATTAGCAAAATCGTGACTGAAAATTCTGAGTAAAATATGGGTGTGCCGAGTCAACAGTCTTTGTTACATTTCGGTGACATTCTGGGCACTGGCCACTCATAGTGAAGAGGCCAGTCTGGGATTCAAGCAGCTCAGTCTAACATGGGAGAGAGAACAAGAAAACAAAACCGAAGGGACAACAGGAATAACACCTGAACATGGGTGGGGGCCAGTCATGGAGGATTCTGGGAGAAAGCGGCACTGATGTTCATGGAGGCTAATCCGTGCATATGGGAACAGTAGGAAGTTCGCTCTGGCAGGTACAAAGAAACACATGGGTCACACAAGAGGTGGTGCTTAGGCTTTATCTTGTTAACTGAGGGGCATGTTTGGTCTCTGGATGCTTGTGGAAAATGGTCTTGAGGAGACCAGAGCCAGGGAACCCCCTCTGGAGGTCAACGTGGCAGTGCAGGAGAGAAATCGGAGTGCTGGAGCTGATGGACAGAGGGAGCCTGGAGGAGGGGCAGAGGGTGGCAGTGACAACTGAGTGTTACGTGGGAACTTTCAGCCAAGGATTTCCTCTGGGATGTGTTAATGGAGACCTCTAGGAGTCTGCTGAAGTCTAGACTTAGGGTTTAGACTGGAGATATGGGTGGCAGATACAAATTGGGCTTAAAGGCTGTCTAGGGAGAAAGTTTATCTTGAACTCCAAAGAAGTTAGAAATCCAAACTCAGGTGAATTCAATATTTGAAAGGCAGGTGACTACAAAGTGAGCTAGCCAAAGGAGAAACACTAAGAGATGGGGTTATGGATGAAAAGAAAGGAGAACTTGTAGAAAGACCAATTCCCCTCCACTAACAAGTTATGCTTGTGAACCTTGCCAATGAAGCATAATGAGTTCTTTTGTGTGCATGTGTGCGGGCCCATTTTCACGGAAATTTCACAATCTTACGAGAGCTTGCAGGGCAGATGGTGTTATCCTGTTTTGCTAATGAGGAAACTGAAACTCAGAAAGGTGGCGCTTCCTGCCTTAAATCAGGGGGTTCCTGAGGAGTAGAGCTGGGGTGGGGGTGGGGGGTCCGGCCTCCTTGGGTGGCTTCCTCCATTGCTGCTGCTTTTGTTGTTGTTTTATATATATATATATATATATATATATTTTTTTTTTTCCCCCATTGTGAATTCAGTGATAGTTTACATGGGGGAACATCAGTTTTACATTCATCGCTTCATTGCAATGATTACAATCTCTTCCGTGCATCATCATTCAATAGTATTTGCTTCTATTCCCTCTGTGTTTGGGGTTTTTTTTGGGAGAGGGGGAGGGGATGTACACAAAAACACTCAGGAATGTATAATCATTTAAACAACCAAAGGGCACATTCTGCGAGCCTGCCTCTTGGCTGCCAGCACCTAGCCTGCCGCTGTTTTTTCGGCCTCGTATTATTACGGTGGAAGCGGAGACAGGTGGGTCCCATGACAAGACGATATAGATGAAGACTCTTAGGGTCTGGAAGGATATGACGACTCCAAAAGCTGCAGAATCCACTCCATACTTCATTCCCCACACACAGGAGCTGTGGCAGAAGTCAACTCTTAGCTTCCTGGCTACTGGGGCAACCTTTGAACATTTTCTCTGGCTGTCAACATTTAGCTCACCCAAGGTGAAAGTAGACAGGAATAATCCCCGGACAGAAAAAGAAGCTGGCACTCAGCCTGCCTCTGAAGTGTATGTAGCCTTAGACTCCAGACGCAGCAAGCTGCAGATCAAAACAAAGGGACAAACCCCATTTTTTAAGGTGCCAAATGGCCTACACACATAGGCATTTGTGTGTGTTTAAGTTATTTGGTGCATTGTTGTTGTTGTTGTTTAGGTGCCATCGAATTGGCTTCAAGTCTTAGAGACCCCATGCAAAACACAACCAAACACTGCCTGGTCCTGTGGCGTTCTCACAATTGCTGTTCTGTCTGAGCCCACTGTTTCTGTCACTGTATCAATCCATTTGTTCAGGGGTCTTCCTATGTCTTGCTGACCCTCCATTTAACCAAATAGGATATCCTTTTCCAGGGATCGGCCCCTCCTGACGCATCCAAAGTATGACAGGTGAAGTCTCACCATTCTTGCTTCTAAGGAGCACTCTGGCTGTACTTTTTCCTAGACAGATTTATTTACTCATTTGGCAATCCACAGTACTTTCAATATTCTCCAACACCATTAATTCAAATACATTAATTCTTCTACAGTCTTCCTTATTCATAGACCTACTTTCACATGCATATGAGGCAACTGTAAATACCATGGCTTGGGTCAGGTGCACCTTAGTAATCAAACTGACATGTTTGCTCTTGAACACTTCAATGAGGTCTGTTGCAGCAGATTTGCCTAATGTCATTTGATCTCTAGACTGCGATTTGCATATGCATTGCTTGTGGATCCAGGGAAAATCCGAGAAAGCACAAGTAAACGTCTTTCTAGTATTCTCTGCTTTCAACCAAGATCCATCTGACATCAGCAATGATGTTCCTAGTTCCATGTTCTCTCCTGAATAGGACTTGAATTTCTGGCAGCTCCTTGTTAATGTACTGCTGCAACCGCTTTTGAATTATCTTTAGCAAATTTTTACTTATATGTGGTATTATTAGTGATATTGTTCAATGATTTCTGCATTCTGTTGGGTCACCTTTCTTTGGAATGGGTACGGTTATGGAGTTCTTCCAATTGGTTGGTCAGGTGGCTGTCTTCCAAATGTCTTGGTATAGATAAGAGAGCGTCTTCAGTGCTGCATCAGTTTGTTGGAACATTTCATTTGTATTCTGTGAATTCCAGGAGCCTTATTCTTGGCCAATGCCTTCAGTGCAGCTTGGAGTTCTCCCTTAATTCAATACCACTGGCTCTTGATCATAGGGTACCTCTTGAAACTGGATGCCTTTAACAGAGAGAAATTTATCCTCTCTCAGTTTAGGGAGCCAGAAGTCCAAATTCAAAGTTCTGACTTTGAAGGAAGGCTATCTCTCTTTGTTGACTCTGGAAAAAAGGTCCTCATCTCTTTTTAGCATCTATAGGAGTCTTGGTTAGGCACTGTATGTTAAAGTGCTAGACTGCAAGGCTAGTTCGAACTGCAAGGTCAGTGGTTCAAGCTCACCAACTGCTCCTCGGAAACCATATACAGGATCACTATGAGTCAGAACTAACTAGGCAGCACTTAACAACAATAGGTCCAACTGCCTTGGAGATCTACATTTATCTTGGCATTGGTCTTCTGGAAATAGGAGCTTCACAGTGCAAGGAGTCCAGGGCCAAAGAAAGCACTCCATTCCTTTTCATCTGTGGCAGTAGTGGGTCCCTCTGAGCTCTGCTCACTTCACCTTTAGCGCTTGCAAGATAAAGGCAATGTAGGACACATCCCCAACTGATTGGCTGTTCATAGCACATCTCATCAAGGAAGCGATTACATCATATTAGATCTCATCAAAGGAGTACCACATCTTAACTATCACACCACTGAGAATACTGGCCCAGTCAAGTTGACACAAAACCTTACCTGTTATAGTACGTTTATGTTTGTATGAGCATAGGAAAAATGCCGAGGACATTTTAATAGTGGAAGAGGGGAACACAGGGTTACAAAGGGTCAGAACCGACTCAACAGCACCTAACAAATAACACAGGGACGGAGGACTCCAAGAAAAAAAATTTTCTATACTTTTCGTATTGTTTGAATGTGTTAATTTTGTAACTGAAAACAACAAAACACAAATAAAGAGATGATCTCAGGACCAGTTAGAAAACCACGGAAGACTTCTGGCAAAATGGCGGACTAGGCAGATATGGACCCTCTATAACAAAGACAT